AGGAGAAAATATGCCACAGACGTATTTTTCACCCCGCGATATCAAAGCGTTACGGGAGTACAAGTATTCGAGTATAGACAAGAGTTTGTTATCTCGTTATGTCGTAAGTAAACCAAAGTTTTGCAGCTACGGTTTTTTGGCAGACGGTTTGTCTTATCTTATCTAATTTTTCTAGTTGAATCCGTATTGGAATTGGTTGGTGACGTTGTTCCCGCTATGGATGGCGCCGAATCTCATTACGCTTTTGGGATTGACGTGTGTGGGGATCAATGTGGGGTTGGTGATGTGGTATGATTGGACGTTGGAAGGGAACGCTCCCGGATGGGTATACATCAGGTACCGACCCTCATTTTCAATGCAATTGTTTCCGATTCCACATATCCTAATACACCTTTTTTATAGTTGTGGGATAGGATTGTTCGTGTATCAGTCTCTCGACGCCATTGATGGCAAACAAGCGCGACGCACAAAGACGTCTGGGCCTTTAGGCGAGTTATTCGACCACGGATGCGACGCGCTCAACACGCTTCTGGCGGGGTTCTTGACCCTCTCAGCATTGGGTTTGGGCAGTGGATGGATGAGTGTTGTGAGTCTTTGTAGTGCCATGACGAATTTCTATGGGAGTACGTGGGAGGAGTATTATACGGGCACGTTGTATTTGAGTGTGGTGAGTGGGCCGGTGGAAGGGGTTGTGATGATTGTTGGGGTGGTGGTGATGGCTGGGGTGTATGGTACGTATTCTCACACATCTGTGTGTGGTTGAGTGCGGGGTGTTTAATGTGTTTGTTTTTTGTAGGACCGGGGATATATCGGTATCCACTTGACAAGTTTTTGACCAAAATCGGACTCGGAACGGTGACAACGTACCTCCCCGCCTTCATCTCCTCAACCTCCCTCAACCGTCTCCTCACGGTTCTCGGGGGTGTGATTCTCGCATTCAACATCATGTCATGTGGGTACAACGTCTACACGCACACCCACACCCCAAAACCAAATCCAAAAACACCAACACCAACAACGAAAGCAACACACGTGAAACCCAACCCCGTGATGACGTTCCTTCCGTACCCCACCTTCCTCCTCCTCCTCATCCTCCACCTCTCCCTCTCCCCGCGTCTGCTCTCCCACTACTTCCTCCCCTACTTTGTGGCACTCACACCCGCTTTTGGCCGGCTAGTTGGGGAAATCATTACGTCGCATTTATGTGGACGGGCGTTGTCCCCCTTTCGGACGATATGGATGGACGGGTTTTTGGCGGTGTGGGGTGTGGCGATTGCGGCGGGGGTGGGGGGTGTGAGTGAGGGGGTTGTGTGTATGGTGATGGTCCCGTGTGGAGTGGCGATGTATGCCAAGTGGGCTGTGAAGGTGATTAGTGCGTATGAGGAGGTGTTTGAAGTCGGGTGTTTGACGATTCGACATGCTTCGAATGAGGGGAAAGACCAGTAACTTGAAACCCGAAAATCGGTTGTGTGGTGTGATTGGATGTGATGTGTGTGGGTGTGGTGTGAGTGGGTGTGTGGGTGATGCGGGGGCTTGGCAAACGTGATCGTTTCTTTGCCTACGTAAGATGTCTTTCACAAAGATAGTCGACAAACACACTCCCTCCAATGAAAGTTAAAAGTCTGAAAGGAGGTTTAAAGAAACCAGTATAGTGATGAAAAGAGTTTATGCCTGCGATATGAGGGAACCAGGATGACATGTTTAGATAACTAGAAACTCTTCTGTTTTTTTGTATGAGAATCTTCCAACACGGGTTTTGGTGAGATGCAAAAGTTACCAAAGCTTTCAATTACGGGTTGGCTGTTTTGTCCTATTTGGTTTTCTGATACCTGCCATACCGGTGTTACATGTTTGATATTGAAGGTTGCGTCCTCCAAAGTCAGACTGACACTTCAGTTTTCAGTTTTTTCGATGGAGGACTACTGGTTCGCACGCACCCAAAAGTACCCCCCCTTGTACATGTATTACTCGCTACTCAACGCATCACTTAATCGCTTGCAACCGCTGTTTTCTCACTTCGTTTTCCCACCAAACACTCCCATTTTCCGAACCCGGGTTAACCACCTTTCTCTCTCACCTAAACCCCGGTTTATAGCGGTAGTGTAAAATCGTGGATTAATAAGTCCCCGGGCGGCGGGAGGGTAGCTTTTGTCAGTTTGTGTGGATGTAACCCACGAACAACGACCGGTAAAAATACCACAAACAGAAACAAAACAAACAGGACCAAACAAGACCAAACAAGTTTCCACATGGTACGCAAAATAAAGTGTCCGAATCATCATCCATTTATATCTTTACATTCTCACACACCACACATAGAGACGCAAACAACACCATCCATTCGTCACCATACCCATCCATCCATTCATCATCACTAAAAAAAAAAAGTCTATAAAGAGCAAAAAGAAAGTCTATATCATTTAATCGTCTTGCTCAAAACACCCATATAACTTGTTCATCGTCGTCGTTTTCGGGTCCTCTTTCAAACGTGGTTTTTTTTTGGCGCGGTATATTAAAGCAAAAGAGGTTTAAAAAAATAAAGGGTCTTCCCGATTGAACAGAGAAGAAGGGGTTTAGAGCCATGCAAGAGCGGCCATGACGACACCGCCTAAGCCAAAGCCTGCCCTGAGCGCGGAGCTTCCGCTCTCTTCATCTTTGGTGCCAGGAGACGGTGTTGGGGTGGTACCGCTTGACGGTGTTGAGGAGGACGCGGGGACAGAGGCAGTGCCAGTGGCAGAGGTGGATGGGGTGGTGGCGGTGGAAGAGGGAAGCGCGGAGGTGGTAGAGTTGGTAGTGCCGTTGGTGCATTGACGGACGAGACGGATGTTGGAGATCTCAAAGACAGTGTCTTGGGGAGCAAACTGGTTGAGTGTCCAGTCCTTCAAGTGGACGAAATCGAATGTGCCTGTGCCGGCTGCGCGGGGCGCAAAGTCGCGGAAGGGGACGGTGACGGTTTGTTTTTGGCCGTTGGGGGTGACGTATTTGGAGATGGGGATGTAGGTGGAGTCGCCGGGGTCGACACGCGTGAGACAGTCGGGGGATTTCTGGGTGAGACACATTGTGAAGGAGGAACCGGCGGGGGCGAGGAGATCGAAGCGCACGGCTTCAAAGTGGGAGAGGTCAAAGCATGCACCGGCATCGAATTTGGCGAACCAAAAGTTGTTGTCAGGGACGTTTGGACCTGCGGTGAGGGCGACGACTTTTTTGGTGGTATCAAAGTTCATGGCGACCTGGACGGCGCCATAGTCGCCTCCGAGGAGGTTGATGTCGCGGACGAGGGTCTCACCGGGGAGGGGCTCGCGACGGTTGACGGCAAAGTCGTCGACGATGATGTCGGTACCGCAGTCGACATGGGGCAGCTGGGTGTGGGTGCCTTCTGCGGTGGACTGTGCGTTGGCATAGGAGAAGGCGGACAGAGCCGAGACCAAGAGAGCAAGTGTTGACGTCTTCATCTTTGTGATGTTGTGTTGTTGTTGTTGTTGAGTTGATCAGTCGATGGGAATGGTAGGTGATCCTCCTTTTTATATATATCTGGCGGGGGTGAGGGTGGGGGTGCTAAGGATCAGAAAATAGCAACCGGGGATAAGCGGGGGGGTGTGCCGTTCGGAGGTAATGGGAAAGCGATTAGCAGGGTGATCAGGAGGTTGAGGGGGAACAGCAGGAAGGAGGGTATTTATAGAAATGAGGCAGTAGTAATAATAGATATCAGTAGAAGGAGGCCGTTTGTCACACACGCACTTTTGGGCTGCAACTGTGTTAGCGGAGTTGTGTTTTGAGAGTCTGTGGGTTGAGAAAGAAGCGGGTGGGTGTGTGTGCACTGTGTGTGGGTGTGAGGCCGCTCAAGATGGGGGAATGAGAATGAATAGAAGAGAGTGAGAATTGGAATGAATGAACTGCCCCGTTGACTGGCTGGGTAGTTAGTGAGTTAGTTAGTTAGTTGTGATATGATATGAGTGAGAAGTGCAGTGCAGTAACTGACTGCACAGAGTGAGTAAGTTGTTGTTGTTAATGTTGTGCGATGGGGTTGCATGAGCACTGGGCACTTGGCATGCCAATTCATGCGTGTGCCAATTGGAGAGTGAGAGAGATCAGTATCAGAGAAGAGAGAGGAGGGGGGAAGGAAGAGAGGGCGAGAGGGTCATCTCACTCACTAGCACTACTAACTACTACTATCATACTAATTACTAACTAGTATAGTGTCTCATCTGATGCACATCCACACATGCACAGTATTTGAGCACAGACGCACAGACACACGTAAGTCACTTGCTATATCATGTGGTTATAACAAGTACTACATGCAAAAGACACAACAAAGCAGACCGCTTGCCTTGACTCCACACACTCACTCGACTCAGTCAGCTAAACTCACTCACTTGGGCCACACCTTTTTGCGACTTGCGACCTGACCAAGTGTCACGTTGCACCATCCGCTTTTTTGCCAGTCCGTTAACCGGTACCCCGCCCGCCCTACCCGCGCCGCCACTCGATAATGGAATGTTCTGTTCCCACTTCCGACTCATCCATTCATTCATTCACTATTCATTCCATCCCCCATGCCAGTAAACGGCCCCCCCATGCAGTAAAAGATACGACCCATGCACAACAGTCCGTCAGCCCATCCATGTGTTCCATTTCCCCATACGTGCTCCGTGTTCTTTTCTTCTCTCTTCCCCGTTCGCCCGGTGAAAATGTTCTGTCGTACATCAGGGGGTGGCGCTGCGCGATGCGTGTTTCAAGAATTTCCGTGTTCTATTCTTCCATTTATGGAATCACCGATTCACCACCGCCCCGTCGGAGAGAATATGATATTATATGAGTGATGACTCATGGGATGGAGGACCCGCCGCGTGAGTAATATATTAATAAATAAATGGGACGCGCGCGCGCGCACCTGACAGCGTTCAAATTCATCTCGTCGCGCTGAAATTGGAAAAAAGGGACGCGAGAGAAAAATGGAACGAGACACAACGCAGAGAGAAGGCGAGAAAACATAAAAATGGAGATTGTGGGATTTGAACCCACGGCCTTCCGCATGCAAAGCGGACGCGCTGCCACTGCGCCAAACCCCCAGTCGTGTTGCTCTCGCATCGACTGTGAGTGGTGTAGTATGTTGCATGGGGTATTTCATTCCGTTTATTCATTCACGCGTTTGCACAACAAGCAGAATGATAGATGGATGGATGTGGATGTAGATCAGTCTCGTCCCCTGCCTGTATACATGCAGCAGAGCACATGCATGTTAGGAGTGTAAGAGATGCACCCGCCAGGAAAGTGTCGTAACAGGTTGTTCACCGCCACGTCGGGGATGCACGTTTCTGGTCATGACGTTACGTTTCCCGACACCCACAACCCTGCTTGAAACAAAGCCCATGTCGCCTGCATATAAGGAAACGCCTCTCTTCAAGTACAGTTCGCAGCGAAGCAACCACATCTGTGTGAATTTGAAACGTGAATAAAGTCAAGATGCCTAGTGGAACAGAAAAACTGTACGAGCCCAACCAAAACCCGCCCATCCAGGTACCTTCATTCCCAGCAATTCCCAGCGAGACTGAAATAAATAACATAATGTTTTTGGTTAGAGCCAAAAGCCGCCTGGGCTGCAGGCTGACATGATTCCGCAACCTGCTAGCACGAGTCTACCCACAACTACTTCTGACGGAACCATTACGATCGAGACGTACAAGGCTGCTGGGAAATTGGAGGGTAAACGCGCCTTGATCACAGGCGGTGATTCTGGGATCGGTAAGAACCATTTCAGTATAACTCTCTCTCTATCCACAATCGAAAATCTCATTGAACAACGCGACCATCTCTCTTCCACATTCAAAAATCTCATCGAACACTGAACACGCGAAACGTTCAAAGGTCGAGCGGTAGCGATCCTCTTTGCCCTCGAAGGCGCAGACGTAGCGATTTCCTACCTCCCCACCGAACAAGCCGACGCCATCGACACCCAAAAAGAAATCTCCCACCGCGCACCCACCCGAAAATGCGTCCTCCTCCCCTGCGACCTCTCCCACGGCGAATCCGTCTGCAAAAACCTCATCGACCGTACACTCCACAGTCTCGGCGGCATCGACTGTCTCGTCAACAACGCAGCCACCCAACAAGAACTCCCATCCTTAAAAGACCTCACTGAACAACAGTTGGAGTATACCTTCCGAACTAACATTTTCGCCATGTTTTATCTCACGAAACATGCCCTTCCGCATATGAGACGCGGGTGCACGATTATTAATACGAGTAGTGTGAATCATTTTATGGGACATCCGGGGTTGTTGGATTATACGGCGACAAAGGGCGCGATTATTGCGTTTACGAGGAGTTTGTCGCAGCAGTTGGCGGAGGAGGGGATCAGAGTGAATGCGGTGGCGCCGGGACCGATTTGGACACCCTTAATGTGCGTGTTCTCTCTTTTTTTGCGTTTTAAAGTTGCCTCATTTGTTTTATTTACTTACTTGTTTGATGTGTTTTTTTTTGTTTTTTTTTTTTTAGTGTGTCGACCATGTCTGAATCTTCCAAGGAATCGTTTGGAACGAGTTTCCCAATGAAACGCGCCGGTCAACCCGTCGAGGTCGCTACCTCTTTTGTGTTCCTCGCCAGCTCCGATTCCAGTTACATTACCGGACAGGTACAAACACACACATATTTTTGTGTTTTTGGGTTCGATATTTCAACTGATGTGTGTGTGTGTGTGTTTTTTTTAGACGTTGCATCCGAATGGTGGAAAAGTCGTCAACGCATGAAGAAACGACACTCGGGAATTTAGGTTTTGGTGGTGAATATCTGTGAATATACATGGATTGTGCGAATTTGGACATTTTCATATGCTCGCCAATTGCCATTCGTCATATTTTCTCTTTGTCGAGTATGCACATCATTGTAGAAATTGATCGTTGGGAAAAGTCGTTTGACTCATTTTATCTATACCGGCTTAGTCACCCACACACGTAAACCGATGGCCAGTGACCGGTGTGCTAACTGTCTAACTACCGCGTGGAGTCGTAACAGTGAGTTGGACTCTTCCTTCAAGAAATGTGGTGTGTGCGAGTTATGATATGGTTTGTTGTAAAAAACATATATCATCAAACAAACTCTTTGTGTGTGTGTGGGATTTCCGATATTTATTCGGTGGGTTCACCAGTTGGTGAAAGGAAAGTTTGACCACACAATTTGCCTTAAGTATTTTTGGTAATTATGGGTCCTCAAAGGTGCAACTTTGAGAGATGAGTGGTTTGGTTAGATGGGGATAGACGGGGGCGTGAAACGGTTTGGTGCATGGCCTAGGCGAACGGTGAGATCTTACGACCAGGCGAACGATTGGAGGCATGGCCAGGCGAACGGTGAGATTTTACGACCCAGGCGAACGATTGGAGGCATGGCCAGGCGAACGGGACGATTGCGTGGTAGTGATGGAATATGATGAGGGGCGGGGGATGAACGGTGGGAAGAAACTCTGTGTAAAGATTGGACGCTCCCCTTGTGTTCCCTCTGCATTTATCAAATAGTGACGGCATCCCGAGTTGTTTCCGGTGTGACGGGGGCTGGAATGAGACTGGGTTACGTTTGTTGTGTGAACGCGATGCTTAATGGTGAGGGGACGTACATTGTTTTGGTCAACTTCGCCATCACTGGTTGTCCATTCTCTCTCTTACGATGACATTTGCGTTCCATTCCTTCGGCCTTCCTTGCGTTTGATGCGCTCGCGCATGTCTTCGAAGATACGCTGCGGCGCTTGACGTCTCCACCACCCCATCGCGATCTTCGTAGCACCTCGTGTAATCATTGATTGAGCACGTCGGCCAGAGAAAGGGTAATACCCGACCATGGCATTATCCCAAAAATGGGTTATGCACAAGCTCATTCATCAACTTTCCAACACTTGTCAGCTTGTATATACGATGGTGTCTGTGAAGCGGATATGTCTGTTGGAGAGCAGAGGCTCAAGGACGGGAATGCTGGGCTTACCCTTTGGGACACCGAGCTGTCTCCACAAACTCATACTTCATCCAGCTGTTACTGAGCAGCTGTACCTGCGCCCGGAGGTCTAGCAAGCCTCCCCGTCTTTGGGACATTCGTGCTGGATTCCCAGCCCTCGTCCCGCCTCTATGGGACCTTTGACAAAACTTCTTCATCGTATGTACGCCACACCTTCTCTAAAAGGGAGGGTTTTTCTTTTCTCAGCTTTCGCAGCCTTCGCCGCACCCGACTTTGGAGTTTCGCCCCTCAACCCCGACACGAGTTTTGAATGCAAGCTTCCATTAGAGAAACAACTCCTGTTTTTTGGACATGATCGCTGCCAGTTCGCTCATTGATCTGGATATTGCCGATTGTCATCCGACCGCTCTGATGGGCTGTTGTGTGATATTAATGGACGGCATCGTCTTGCGTTTTACAACCTACAACTTGCCTGCGAGATCGGACTTCCACGCACCGTCGTTTGCGGAGCTTTCCTCTGCTTACTTACGCGTATTGCTCTTTTTAGGATGCGGCACGAAATTACAACTAATGTTTTTGTTTCTTCTTCTGCGGTTCTAGCCGATATAATGTGGATTGTAAAAGATATGTTGGGAACAAACCTCTGTGTGCGGAGTTTTCGAGATTTAGTCGGTGGTGTTTCCAGTTGGTGAGTCCATCCCACAAGAAGAAATAGCACCAGATATTATGCTTACATTAAGCTTTCATAGTCGGGGATTTGGCGCAGTGGTAGCGCGTCCGCTTTGCATGCGGAAGGCCGTGGGTTCAAGCCCCACAATCTCCATTACGTTTACATTTTGTTCGCTTTTTGTCTACAAAAGCGCGTGCGACACCTCCGTGTCGATGTAGATTTTCCCATGGAGCCGCATTGGCCAGACGTCCTTCATCCACCTTCATATTCTAGACCCCTCGTCATAATTGACCGCTGTGCCCGCAGCTCCCACTCCTGATACTGTTAATAACACATACCTGCCACTTGAAACATAATGAGTCTCACCTTCGACGACTGTGTCATCGTCCTCCCATCTGACCCGTTGAGGATGAGACCCAGTTCTTGATTGTACACCATTGGACATTGACTATGTCCACAGCAAATTGGTGAGCAACATGTTCGACCCGGTTTAGACGGGAGATGTCGATGGAACTTTCAGCGACGAAGACAAGGCCATGGCATACATCCACGCGTCAGATGCTGAAAGAGTCGCGCAACCCAGAAAAGGTCAGAGCGAGGGCCCAACATCCGATGGTTGGCACGCATACGAACGTATGTAGTCCAGAAAATCTGCCTTTTTTAATTAACTCATGATGCGCAATCACACAGGGTAGGATAGGTTCTCACGGTTCGTGGTGGAAGACGTTACTGGCGCGGGCTCTTTGAAGAAAAGGAATTGGCGGAAGTGCAAACCGTTAAGCATCGACAGCTTATTATACGAACCGGATATGGTTGATGGCCCTGCAAACTTCCCGTAAGCGAGCCAAAAGCATGTCAACATAGGTAAGATGAGAAACGTCATCCACTCCTTCTGAGCATTGTTATGTTCACTCCACTTCCGTCGAGTAGGGCACGTTTGCTCCAGCACAGCAGTACAGCAAGATGCTGACCTCGAGGTTATGGAAGCTGGAGTCTTCCCACCTTGGCCGTCAACATCAAACGAGGCGGGCAGTGGTTTGACATGTATAGGGGGATTCTTTCGGGCTCGAGTAGATGGCATGGGTTTTTCTTATGGCACGCGGCGAACGAGATGCATATCTTCACCTTTGACTATGAGCCAGTTGTATCATCTCGTTCGCCCCCTGCCATAGGTTGGAATGGGAGTGCAGTGCCATAAACGGAGGAAGTTGGGCGGTTGCTGAATTTGAAGTCATGCACATACTATGACTATATTTCACACCCGTAGATGTCTGATGTCCATCATGCGTCGAGGCCGGTGTCGGCGTATGTGTCTACTTTAGGTATTCGAGAATTGTATATATGTATTCCTTATATACACATATACGGCGCTGGTTAACTTAAAGCTCGATTTACGTTACTGTGCGACCTGCGCATCCCGATTGTCTCAACAACATCTGCATTCGGCATAGCGTGTATCTT